ACTGAACCCGTCTGATTTTTTTTATACATTTACCCCCACTTACTCTATAGCATTTCACTCAAATCCAAATAGTAGTTTGAATAACCACTCCAGTTAAACATGTTAGTTTTCAGATCCCAGAGAACCGCTAAGAATACTATCTTAAAGAGCAAAGAATCCTGAATAAAAGAAGAGATCATCACATTTCTTACGACCTTTTCTTAAAAATTTATAAACATTACAAAAAAGTGAAAAACAGCGAAATTTATCATAACATTGTAAAAAAAGCATTATTCATTTTTTGTGATGCTTATAGCTTTTTAAAGTATTTAGTTTTTCTGAAAACCTTCCTCTGATAGTGGATCTATGAAATTTCGATACAGAATGTATTTTCATAGAGAACTTCATTGACTATTTAACTTTGAGTTAAATGCTTGCTATTGTAGAAAAGAATCAAAAAACATTTGTCTGATACAGTGAATCTCAGAATTATTCAACCAGGTGTAATTTGGATTTTTTCTCGTAACCTTAAGTGCTAGAGAGAATTCAAATAGTGATTTGAATAGAGAATATTGTTGCCAATAAGAATTCGAGAAAGTGATAACCGTCATGAATTTTTCTAAAATAGGATTTTTAGAAAACCAAAACCCTGATTTTTTAACATCCAGAAGTCTTGTTTTAACAGTCTGAAATTATAGAGCAGCCAATTCTCTACAAAATAAGACGTCTCCGAGCTTTCTATGGCCTTCTCTTCAAAAGTTCTAAGCGTCACAAAAATCGAAAAAATGCGGTTTTTAGTCGCTTTTCTCATAAATTTCACTTTTTTTCGATTTTTGTGACGCTTAGAACTTTTGAAGAGAAGATCCTAGAAAGTTCGGAGACGTCTCATTTTGTAGAAAATTGGCTGCTCTTTAATTCCAGACTGTTAAAACAAGGCTTTTAGATGTTGAAAAACCAGAGTTTTGGTTTTCTAGAAATCCTATTCTAGGAAAATTCATGACGGTTATCACTTTCTCGAATTCTTATTGGCAACAATATTCTCTATTCAAATCACTATTTGGATTCTTTCTAGCACTTAAGACTACGAAAAAAAATCCAAATTTTGGGACCCACTATATATTTGACTAGTACCGTATATATATATATAAATATATTCATTTACTAATTCTTTATTTAGGCGGAATGATATTTATTGCTATACCATGCTTCACATATGATGGACCAGCTGAAACAGATGGTAATTGATATGTATAAACTAATATTTGAATACTTGATTCTTTCTTTTTTTTTTATTGTTAGATCCAATAGGTGATCCACTTGGTATTAGTTTACGAACAGAAGAATTTACAGTAAGTAAAAATTTATTATCATCTGGTGCTGATGCATTAGAACGTATAATGTCATCATATAAAGAGGTAAGATTTATTAAGATGAATTCTTATTTTTGAATATAAAGATTTAATTTAAGCTAACTGAATTAGCTGGACATACAAATCGAGTGTATAAAATGCTTCATGTTTTTGATGAATGTGCACATGAACGATATCAACGAATTCCTATGATATTAGGAGAAGAATATTCATGCATAAGTATGAAACGAAAAGTTACTTTAAATCAACAAGCACGTTAGCTTTTATTTATTTTTCATATTTAATAAAAATCATTAACTTAGTGTTTTTTTTTAATAGATGGTCAAATTATTGAATCGAATGACGATATAATTGCTGAAAATGTACCAATTATTACTCCAAATGGTGATGTTATTGTTGAAAGTCTTTCCTTAAAAGTAAAATTTTTAAATTCATATACTCAAAAATATTTATACAGAATGTTCGAAAAAGTTCGATTGAAAAAGAAACGTAAATATCTCTTTCATCGTTCAAACGATTTACATGAGGTTTTGTTTTATATTCATTGAAGTTTTATTTCACATAAAATTTATTTACAATCAATGTCAAAATGATCATTTTGTACATTTATTAGAAACAACTTTATATGAAATGAAACCATAAAAATCTCATGTAAATTGCTTGAACTATGAAAAAAGATATTTACATTTCTTTTTCAATCAGACTTTTGAAACATTCTCCATATTTGTTTATGTTAGATAATACCAAAAATGCATGTTCTTATAACTGGACCCAATGGTTGTGGTAAATCTTCATTTTTTCGAATCATTCGAGGTTTATGGCCAATCTATTCTGGTTGTCTTCATCAACCAAATCCTTCAAATTTTTTTCTTATTCCTCAAAGACCTTATATGTGTCCAGGTACTTTACGTGATCAAATAATTTATCCACATACAATTGATCAACTTCATATTGATGATAATCAATTAATAGAAATTCTTAATAATGTTGAATTACAATATATTGTACAACGTGAAGGTGGTTTAAATGTTGAACGTGATTGGAAAGATATACTTTCTGGTGGTGAAAAACAACGTCTTGGTTTAGCTCGAATTTTTTATCATAAACCTAAATATGCATTACTTGATGAATGTACAAGTGCTGTATCAATTGATGTTGAAGGAAAAATATATGAACGATTAAAACAATTAGGAATTTCATTACTTACAATAACACATCGACCTTCTCTTTGGTTAGTTAAATTTTATTTTTCAATAATTTAAAGTTATATATTCTTTTTTGAGGGTTTATCATACACATTTACTTCAATTTGATGGTAAAGGTCAATGGACATTTGAAATTCTCGATACAAAAAATCGTTTAACATTGAAAGATGAAAAAGAACGTCTGGAATTTCAATTAGCTATTGTTCCTGAAATGCAAAGACGTTTAAATGAATTGTGTCAAGTACTTGGTGAACATACAATCGACGATCAAAATTAATATGATTTCTATTATACATATTGACAATTCTTTTTTTTTTCTTTTTGTTTTAAGTTATATTTCTTTTCTTCTTTTTTTTTTGTATAATCATATTTGAATGAAGCATATTGGTAAAGAAATTTTATGAAATGAAAAAAAATACTATTTAAAGTCAATAGTTAAGATTATTCAAGAATTTAAAAGATCAAAAAATATTGCATTTTCAATGATGAATTGGATATAAAAATCTTTTGTATTTCAAATTTAGTTTGATTAAAATGAACATTTTTATCAAAATTTAATTTCATTTATTTGATTGAAATATATTAATTTTTTTTCCCTAGTTTTTAATACAAAAAAAAAAAGTAATGAAATTTTTTTTAATTCCGTAGGTATCTAATAATTAATTCAACAAGTAATTTACAACAACAAGGCGATAAAATATACTTGAATATTTTGTTATTTCATATCTTTTAAGACTACGTTACGTTGAAAAGAATTTTTGAGTATATTTTTTTTTTGTCAAAAAAAGAAAAAAGATGTTAATGTTATTTTGAAATTTAAATAGTGATATAAAAATAATATCAGTTCACACTCTTCATGTGATAATTGTATCATTTTTTTTTGTCACCTTTTAGTCTCTCTCTCTCTCGGTTACTCCCTACTGCTTTTATACTTATTACAAAAGTAAATACTCAGTCTTTTCTATTCTTCGATTGCAAACAACTACTTCAACTTTATTCTCTATCAAATTCGAAGAAAGTAAAGTCTTTCAAATCAATGAACTAAATCATTTCATATGACTTCTTTTTTTTAAAGATCATGTATCAATCTACATTATTTATTTTATCTGTTGCTATCATACAATTAAATTATGCATGCTATATTACTAATTGTCCTATTGGTGGCAAACGTAGTTTAAATATCAATAATATTCTTCATGCTCATCAAGTTAGAAATTGATCTATATATTTTTTGATAAATTATTTGTTTTTTATCATTTTAGTGTCCACGTTGTGGACTTAATGGTCAATGTTTTGGACCATCGATTTGTTGTACACATTTTGGTTGTCGTATGGGACATCCGTCTGACATTCATCAATGTTCAACTGAAGATCATAGCGTGATCCCATGTACTATCAAGAGTAAAACTTGTTCAATGTTATCTAATGGTCGATGTGCTGCCAATGGACTCTGTTGTAATGCAGGTATGTCATTTTTGATCTTCATTAAAATCTTGTACGAATATTAATCTTTTTAGAATCATGTCATATGGATAAAACTTGCTCCGTATCATCAAATCATTTTATTGATAATGTACAAGATGAAACACAAGTTTGATGATCATCAATGAGAATTCTTCTATTGTTTCTTGATTCTAACTCTTTGTATAACAAACTGAATATATTTGAATTAAATAAATAATCGAAAGAATAAGATTGGATTGCTTTTTTTTTTTCTTCTTGCAAATGTATCGTATTCAAAAGAGAAAATTTTCATACATGAAAATCATATATTTTATATGAATAAAGAAAGAATGAATATAACATTGTCAGATGTCACTAGTTTGCCTCTATTTTTGTTCAATACTACATGAATTCTATAGAAATTCAATTGGATTAATATCAATCATTGAAAATAAGTGAAATATGGTCTTTATACTTTAGATAAATCGAATTAAGTATACTAAAAGATAGTTAATTTACATGTCTCGACAGTATTCAACTCATTCATTTATTCCACCTAATCATCATCATCATATATCATCAAATAATTCAACTAGACGACGATTTCGTCAATCAATACAAAATAATTTTTCTTATTTTCAATATCCATTTCTTCAACGACAAACTTTTGAATCAAATCGAGAAATAAATAATACTAATCATCATTCAACATTACCTTTTAATCGTATATCAGTAATAAACTTATTTACTTTTATTTTAAATTAATTTAATTATTTTGTAATAAAATTTGATTTAAGACTACAGCAACAATATCTCATCATAATAATCATACAAAACGTCAACGACGATCATCAACTATTGGTATATCAAATTTTCAAACAAATCAATATTATCATGAACGAAAACGTTCAAGACATTATGGAAATGAACGAGAACATATGTAAGATATTGTTTTACAAACTATATTCTTTCTAATTTTCTATTCTATAGAAATCATCCATCGAGACGAATACAACAAACTAATCCTACAACTTATAATATTCCTTCTTTTTCTCGTTCATTTCATTACAGATCACATAATCATTCTATTCAAACACCTCGTTATTTTCATCATGAATCAATATCTTCTTCTAATACAAATCGTCATCATCAACATCATCGAAATCGAATGACATTTGAACCAACATTATATCATCGAACATTAATGACTACTCATGTACATCAACAACCTTCGTCTTCTTTTCTTCTTACTAATTTACTTCAGTAAGTGTATATACAGTGTAGCCCAAAATTCACTTTTGAACGAATGAGCTAGTTTTTGTTTTTGAGTGTGCCCTGAAATTTCAATTATAAACATCGAGAAAACTACAAATGTCTCACATATACTCTTGCATGACTAAAACCAAAATTCATTATAATACTTGTCTCGTTATTATCTTTTCTTGTTATATTTGAATTCTTGAATGATGTTTAGTTTACCAGTGAGATAATCATTATAAGAAAAATTTCCTAGGACTGAAACTTTCAGAGTGTAATGTGTAATAGAATTTGATGTAAACCATAGTATGGAAAGCTTCATCGTTGATTTTGGCCACTGGGCTACATTGTATTTAGGCCAACATTTTTCTTATGAACTATGAATGTCTCTTTATCTCTGATGAAAAATTCAGTCCATTTTGCTAGAGCATGAGTGTGATATTCAATTTTTTTTCTGTTAAGTGACTTTTACGTCGCTATATATTTACAAGAATTTTAAAAATAATTTTTTCATTCTCTAGTCGTATTATTGATAATCATCATCCACTATCAGCATCATTTGATTTGATTGGTTATGCATGGATGTCTCCTAATCATGAAATATTTTCTTTACCAACTGCATTTACTATTCATTTTGGTGTAAGTTATTGATTTATTTATTTTCTTTAAATTTAAACAATATTTATATATATATAGGATTTTTTCGATTTAATTATTTCTGATGAAACATCAGTAGTTGGTTTAACTGATAGTGAACTTGAAAGAATACCAACAATGATTTATAAGAAAATTTGTACAAATATTAAAGATGATGATGATGATAAATGTACTATATGTTTAAGTGAATATATAACTGATGAAAAACTTAAACGTTTACGATGTAAACATTATTTTCATAGTGAATGTATTGATCCATGGCTTAAGGTAAATTTTTCGATGATAGTTTTAAGATTTTTATAGAATAATTTTTTTTTGTTTTGTTCTTTCTAGACATCAACTCGATGTCCGATCTGTCGAAATGAACAGACAAGTTAAATAAAATTCTTCCGAATCTTGTTTATTTGTCTAACGTTGTATATATTTCTTTAAATGCCAGATAAACATATTGTTATATATTTTATGTTTTTTTTTTCTTCATATATGTACTCAAGGACTTGTTTGTTTTTTCATTTTGGTGTATCTATTGTTGCCTTTCTTTTGTATGACAGTTTTTCAAACTTTATCTGAGGAAAAAAAAAATCTTACATAACACATCTATAGAAAGAAAAAGAGTTATATGTTACGGTTTTCTTTTTCTAATTTCTCAACTTCTTTTTTGTGACTTGTTTTATATTATTCATTAGAAAATTTCATACGAAAATAAATCATATTGGATAAAAGAATGAATTCTAAGATCTTTTGATAACTGTGAAGAAGTATAAAAATCAACTTATTATATTTATTCATATCCGAAATGAATTTAACTCATTAAGGATCAGATAGATGTGGCTTTCGATTTATAGTGTCGAGTTATGTCACAACTGTATGAACTTAATGCATAAAAAATTAAATATTTCGATTTAATATTATGAGTGACATTGAACAGATGAGTTATAGTTTGTAGTTTTTTCTGCATTATTCAAGTTAGTTTAACTAATGAGAAAATAGTTTTAATTATTAAATCGATAATCGGTTTAAAGACATGCGACTCGATGAACCAGAGACAATCACAAGACAGGGCAAAAATGTTTCAACCTGCTAACTTTTTTTTTCTTTACAAACAGCCACTTGAGAAAGATTTTCAGGTCAGTATTGTTGAAAATGACGAGTTGAATAGATAAGGAGTAAAAGATGATCCTTCGCGGGATTCAAACTATGCATCTTCTGCTGTCAGAGTAGATGTCACAAACTAGTTAGACTAGAAGAGACGTCTGATCTTCGCTTTATGTATAGAGTGTTGTCATCTATATATAACATTATCCTCAGAATTCTGTAATTATATTGCTGTTCGATTGATATTTTCTATAACGGAGAAGTACTTGTCCTCTTCGGTAAAAAATATTTGATCATGTTCTATGTATTAATCAAGTTTTTTTCGTCAAGCATAAAGTGGTATTGTTCTAATCTATGTTAGTAAAAATGGAAAGACAACAGTGTAATCTTCTGTCGCTTGAATCAGTAATCGACATGTATGTCAAATGAAAATATGTATCGAAAGAATTTGAGAAAGGTCTACAAGCTATCACACGATCAAATAAATATATTCAGTATCTAATAAACCAATCTGACAGAACACTAACGAGAATGAATAAAGAATTCACAATAAAACAAAAATTTATATTTTTGAAATAATTTGTTGAATACAATACACCCAAATCAACAATAATCGAAACTTCAAATAAATCATAAGTCTACTAGTACCAACCGGATCCGAGTGTTATCTATGACACGAACACAGTCATTCAGTCTTCATCATTAAGATTACCGCCATTCTCAAAAACCGATCTCAGCCCATGATATTTGATAGAGATATTCATCAGACAAAGATCAAAAATAGCTGATTTGGCATCCCAAATTTCTCTTTTGGCACTTGTAAAATATATTAAATTTTTTTTTGTTTAAAAGAGCACATCAGAATGCAGGGCACTAAAGAGTCCTTTTTCTAAATTCTAACTTTTTAACCTGAGAAAGGGCATCACAAGTTCAATGACTCAAAAAATGGTGCTCTAATTATATAGGTGTCTGTATATACAATAAAAACAAAGCTTAATTAAAAAAAAGGACTCTTTGATACTCTGCGTTTTGACACGTTCTTTCAAACAAAAAAAAAAATTAAATATATTGTATGAGTACTGAAAGAGAAATTAGGGATACACTATCTGTAAACCATAAACTGAGAAAAAAACAAAAAAGATTTTCCGTTTTTTCGAAAAAAAAGCCTATAGATGATGAAAATCATCAAAAATTTTGGTCAAAACAGAAGTGTCGGATAAAAAATCATATCACAAGACAGGCTATCTTTCCATGCAAATTATCTCAATTTCGAAATTTTTGACGAAAACTGACATTTTTTGAAGGGGTGGCCTTAGACAACTAACCGACCATTATATATTTCTAATTTGTGAGACACGAAGCTAATTGTACGGCGCTGAACTACAATAAAGTTATCGAAGCTATCGCATTGATGATGAAGAAACAATTCTGTATGTATTATAGGAAAATTTGAGCTTTTATCTAAGGTGGGGTGGGTGTGAGTGTGCCCATAGGAATGGGAGTAAGTCTGAGTCTTCTGATCACTCACATACACCCACACCTTTTCAATGGTGCTTGATATTGTGGTTTCGACATGAATATTTACCTGAATTGATTGATGAAATGTCCGATATACTCACTCATGATTTTATACATTTCGATTTTGGCATTAAAATCTCTTTCACTAGAATCTCTTATGTAGTAATGCTATTGTCTATATGATATTTTCCTATTGAAATTTAAACCATTTGGAATCTTCTTCATCAACATATGATTCATCTAAAAGTTGTCATAAATTAATTGTGCTATTAACATTCATTCGACAAAAATGCTCTTTCATTAGTCAAATAATATAAAACACGATATAATGAAAAACTCTTTTCGAATTTATCAATAGTTGATGAAAAATATCAATTTCGTTTACAATAATATACAAAATAAACGACTGCAATCGAATAAGTTAAAGATGAACATTTATATGAATTAAACTTATTCATTATGAATAGCAACTCGACTAGCATATACATCACAAAATTCTTATTTATTATATACTTTGACTTCTGATTCAATATTACAACAATGTCTAAAATATTTTCAGATTGAATTAGCATTATTCTTTTCGAAAATGTTTCTACAATCTGATCAAAAAAGATAATATATTATCCAAATTTAATAATTCGAACAAAACTAGAATATAGCATATTCAAAAAAATTCGATATTTAACTTAGTCGGATATAAATATGAAAACAGTGGTATTTGGAGAAAAATTTAATTAAACTTGATAATATGTTTATAAAAGTTTTTCTTCTAAATAGAATAAAATACAATTCATATAATTTGTTAGTTTGAAAATTTATTTCAAGAATATTAATTATATGATATGTGACTATGTGTAATTTAACTTGATTGAATAATCTGTAAGCAAGTATAGTCTTTCTTTTTCGGATTGATGTTTTCTATGAAACTAGAAATTGATGATTGACTTAATTAATATTTTTTCTACAACTAATTGATTTAGATAATAAAATACATCTTAAAAAAATAGATGTAGAATTTGAAAGAAAAATGCATAATTATGGATGTATTGAAAGATCAGGTATTTTTATTGCAGCTAAAATCTTAGAAATAGTTGATATTCATAATGAGAGAGATATTTCAATAATTTTTCGTCATTTATCAGCATTATCTCTAGACTTTATTTGATGGTTTATTGTTTTTAAAATTATGTTATTACATAAATAATTTTATTCTTTAAAGCTATTACCCTCTCCTCTTCAAAAATCGGTCTATATACTTCATTTTTTTTGTTTGAAAATGCATATCAGAATGCAGGACATGACAGAGCTCTTTTATCAAATTCTTACTTTTTAAACCGAAAAAAGGAATGAAAAGTTCAATGTCTCAAAAAAAACTCGCAAAAAATGACAGTCAGATTATACAAGTACTTTTTTTTTTTACTAATAGTAACAAGGTTTAATTCAAGAAAGGAACTCTGTCATGCTCTGCATCGTGGTATACCCTTTCCTCCGAAAAAATTCAATATATAGAATGAAAACTCTCAAGGAGTTCTAAGTTTTAAAAAATCATGTCGTCTATGAAAGATCAGATTTTGTACTATGTTCTTTTTCTCAATTTTAATAATTCTGATGAAAATTGACTGTCTTTGAAGGAAGGAATGGCCTTATTTAAAAAGAACCAAACATGCAACACGACATGGAATGAATGACACAAAATTAAAATGAAATTACATATGATTATTGTAAAATTGAAAGTAAGATGAATAAATATCAACGCATACATGTGGCGTGGGTGAAGACGAATCACATACTTACACCCACATCTATATCTATATAGTGTAGAGAAACGCAAAGAACAGGTAAAAGAACGGATATAGTAGACTAAATTTGTTACATTGCCTACACTTTTTCATTTTCATATTTCTATTTTTTCGTTCTGTTTCTAAATGATGACTAAAAACAAAATAAAATATAAAATTGATTTCTGTTCTATACGTGAATCATTCAATTACTGAGTAATAGTAAACATATATAAAGTAGGTAAATAATCAGAAAATTTATTAGTGTCAATCATATTTTAATACTCGATAGATACTGAGCAATTGTTTTCAGAATTTACTTTGCACACCATCGGTGGTATTAGTTCTTTCATCGACGATTCATCCAAATTTAGGTAAGTTATCGAAGTAGAAACTCATGCTACAGTATGAATAGGCATTACTCTACTTTTTTCTCCATTGAAATCGTGAGCTGTTAGTGTAAAAACTTGCTGCAACACTTCCAATTTAAGGTACTTTTGAAATTCCGAACAAAGAAGTAGCAAAAAAAGGATGGATGCGGGTAGCAATTTCCTCTACACTCAGATCCATTGACTCAGACTTTACTTTCATCGTCACACTCACTCTTACTAATCAGATTTCAGAATGATTTTCTCTTCAACAAATCAGATTTTTAGAACGAACGTCTATCGAAATATACAGAAAATGTCTGATTAATTGAAAGAAGTTAGTACTGAAATTCGATTAGCTGAAAGAAATGCCAATGGATCTCTGATTAGGTGGAAACATGTCATGAAAACACTAGCAGAACGGTTACCGTTCCATAGCAGTTATGGGTTTCAATCGATGGATCGGCAACAGTGAATCGATGAACAATCGTCACTGTTGAATCCCTACTAGTGCTGCATCAATCACAATAATAAAAAAAGATCACCTTCGCATGTACCAGCAACATGTGACGCTATATTATTTTACACTACTTTGGATTGCCCGAACTATGCAGAACACAATATCAGTCGTGTCCCGTTTGATCGTTCACTAGTCTATAGATTTCTGACGATTCACAATAGCATAGAACAGAATTTTGATGCTACGACTTGTTTTATTTATTTCAGCTCGCTTATCGAACACCGAGCATTCGTTCTCAATTTATCCGGGTATATTTAATTTCATTTAAACAAACTCTTTCAACAATTTTATTAAACACAATCGTGTAATTTCGATGCAAAAGTCATCAAAAATAATTGATCCAAACCAAATCTCACGCAATCTATTTACATCGTTGACTAATCTTCGTCAAGAGATCTTACAACATGAATCAAGCACGGATATTAATCATATCGATTCAAAAGTTCTATCCTGTATTGAATCAGTCTTGACTTCAATAAAACCTCTTCGTTATATCGAGAGTCCAAAAGTATTGTCGGACATAATTCATATTATATGGAAAACGTACATCGCTGACTTTCTTTCATTAACTGAGTTTGTTAATATTCTTGCCAATGATCAATTTCAACAAATATTTAACTCCGTTATGAAAGTGTACACATCTATAAACTTTCAATCCATTTTCAGAGATGATACGTCTTATGCTTATGATATGTTCTATCGTATCTTCGAACTAATGTCACTTCCAGCCATTACGACTCTTCTTAAAAACCAATCTAATGATCAAATTATGCCACATACAGCTAACATCTTGCGCATATTTCTACTTCAAATGCAAAATATTGCAGAAGAAATCTCATTCAAAAAAGATGATTTACTTAATCAAGAATCGACCATTCAGCTTCTGTTAGAATACGTAGATATAAATTTATTTGAGACTGATAATGATATTCAACTCACGATCGTTGAAATATTGGAATTCATTTGGACATTGGTCGATAATACTATACTGGTACCACAATTACTTAATGCGAATTGCGTTTCGTTCACACTCAAATGGATCAACACCAGCGAATTATCACTTGTTATTCAACGAGCTACTATTCGACTCTTATACAATATCGCACGACATGAAAAAGGATGTGATGCATTGAATGGAGCCGATGCCATTCGTCTACTGAAAGAATTCAAACAACGAACTTTAGATCCAACTATTAATGATGCAGCCTATGAAGACATGCGTTTACTCTTTTCCATGACATTAGCGTTGTTGATGGAACCGAAGGAAAACGAAAGCAATGCTAAATCACTTAGAAAAGTACTCGATCAATTGATGCAGTTAACTGTCAATGCAGCACGAAAAAAAAATCACAAATATGGTGATTTTTATATCAGTGAACCATTAGTAGTTTTCACAAAACTCTTTGTTCATGATGACATTGTACATTATTGTATCAAGGAATCTCAAGTCAAAAATATGAAAATATCTTCGAAAGTTGCATTCTTTTGTGATCTAATGATGCAATTTCGAGGTGCTCTCGTTAATGATGACGAGCTCGACCAATTAACTCTCACAGCATTGATGAATATTATTTGGAGTATTTCATTTCATCATGATTATGTCGACGAACTCAAATCGAATGCGAAGTTTCTCATCACTATCAAAAGTCTCGCCAATGACGATGGAGAAGCTTGGATTGAACAATATGTACCAAAACACATGTCATCGGTGAAAAAAGCAGCTGCCCGCATTTTGTGGAATCTCGACGAAAGTAGTCCAGGTTAGAAAGCTAATGCATTTATTGACATTGTCTTCATCTTGATCTATTCTATTTTGAGTTCAGCACGACCAGTTCGCGTAGTGGAACCAGTACCAACTGTGATCGATCAAACGAATTTTTCTCCGACAGTCGTAACAACAAACAAACGAATGCGCATCATGGTCAGCTATTCGCATGTTGATGCTGACTTTTGTCATCAACTGGTAGATGCGCTTGAAAAAGGTATGTTCCAAGGCTGATAATATGTCCTATCCCAGCATCTTTTTCTTTTGTATCAAATACAATAAACTGTATGTTAGTACGAAGCGTGATATAGAACTTGAAGGAAGTTTCGCGCATGCTACACAAAGCCTAAAACGAGTTTCAAATTCGTTGCAATCTTCGAAACCATTTTTTTTTCAGTCTGTAAAGTATCGATAATAATTTTCTATCTCTATCATTGATACTCAAAGACAGTTGGTTAGCTAAGCAATCGACTAGAGTTACTGATTAAAGAAACCAATCTACTACAAAAAATATTCGGTCTAAAAGTTTTCAGAAAATAATGTACATAGTCTATTCCAGAATAGTAATAGCTATGTACTTACATTGTATACGATTTTCTCGAGCATTTCACGGCACATCTTTTAATAAAGAAATAAGGAGAAATGGTTGACCTCGTACAAAGAAAAATAGAAAGAAACAATATCACCTTTCAAGCTGAACTTACCAGCAAAGTTTTTAACCCATTGTTGAGTAACATTGCCAACAATGTATTAAGCTTAAATTATTCTTTAAGACGGCTATTCTGCATACAAAAACGTAGAGAGTATAGATAAACTTATATGCCTCGTCATTCTATCCTATTTGAAATTTTTGTGTCTATTTTTAGAAAATCGTTTCGATATTTGGGTTGACTTCGATTTTTGTCACACGGAAGATCTGTGGGAAGAAATTGGTCAAGCAATCGAAAAATCTGATGTAATACTTCTTCTCATGACAAAGGATTATCAAGACAGTAAATCGTGTCGTCAAGAAGTGATGTACACAAAAGATTCATTGAAGAAACGTTTTATTCCTGTCTATGTAAAACGAGATTTTGTGGCTAGTGGTTGGTTAGGTGTACGCATTGTCGGTCCACAATACATTCGTTTTGGCAAAAAATCTTTTGAAGCAACGGTGAACGATCTCATGAAACTTATTTTTGAAGATAAGAGCGAGAAAAGCTCAAAACACAAAGATTCTAAAGTGTCTGTAACTGTTCCTTATGTTGAAATCAAGCCTGATGAGAATGACAAGTCGAATGAAGAATTACCAAGATATGATCATGAAAATTTTAATCAATCGAGTAATGAAATAATGCCAGTACTTGTATCCAATCCTAAACTAATTGAAAAATGGAACTCAAACGATATCGCCAATTGGTTCGATGCTAATAAAGTTCGTTGTGAATTAAAAGAAATGTATGATTTTCAATGTGGTACTGAACTACTTCTCTATGGACAGTGTCTTCGATCAGACTGGCAATCTGAATGTCTTGATGTACAAGAACAATTCTCAAAACGATACAATACAGTATTATATCGCAATGAATTCGTTCGACTAGTCAGTGTAATTAATCAACTAGAACAGTTGCAGACAATGCCAGTCTCGAATACATATGGAATTCTATTATTATTATTGTTATTTGTTCTTGTTTTGTTAGATACTTTTAAAATGTTTCAATAAAATAGCCAATTGATCTGTATTTCTTACATAGAAAAAAGGAAATCAATGCTAATAACTGGAGTCACTGTTGGTTACTGTCGCGGAGTGCTTGATAGCGACATCACTGGTTTTTTCATGTTTGTCCTATATATATGACTATTGGAAACAAAAATTTCTAATATTTTCTAATTGATATTTAAACTTTTTATTCTATTGATTGGAATCCATACATTACGCTTCATTAATACTTACGTTCATCATTTTGTCAAAGGTACATAGTATGCTCTTATGGCTAATTCCATCCAATAAGATAAGACATGTATATAGATAGCTAAATTTAGTTTTTTGAAAATACAAAAAGAAATAAATAATTAGACGGAGAATTTAATTATTCGCTGTATTCTCCTGTCTTAATATTTAAATAAACTTAACTTGTAAATAATTTAATCTACTATTTTCTTCAATGAAATATTTTGCAGTATATAAACTATCTAAAAATTAGTATATTTTATCATGCGACAAAAATGCTTTATTTTATTTTCAATAATAATTCCTTTGTTCATTGCTTTTCTATTTACTTTTCCACGTTACACTGAACAAGATGATTCCATTATGCTGCAAAAATATTTAACTATCAAACAGAATTTATTATCTGTTATGACATTTAACATTCGCCTCGATGGAGTAGAACGTGATCCAAATAATCATTTTACGAAGAGAATCTATCGTTTAACAGAAACTATTGAAAAATGGCAACCATCTATTCTATGTGTACAAGAACCATTTGGTGGTCAATTGTTGCATTGGCAATCTCATTTACCAAACTATTATCGACATATTGGTTATCAACCTGGCGGTGTCGATAGGGATCTTAAAGATCCATCATCTCATAGAGATTTTCAAGTTGCTATTTTATATAATAATCAAATATTAAAATTAATAGAACAAGATTATATATGGCTATCAAAGACACCACGAATTGTTGGAAGTAAAGATTGGAATAGTGCTGGAGAACGAACATTAAATATTGCACGATTTCAATTAAAAAATGAGAAGTCGATTAGCATTCTTGTTTTTAATACTCATTTAGATGTCAAAAGTGAACAAGCACGTCAAGAACAGGCAAAAATTGTTCGATCAACAATAAAAAAATGGCAAAAGAAATATCCAACAGCTGCAGTTCTTTTATTCGGAGATTTTAATGCTGCTCCAAAACAAGCCGCATATAATATATTGACATCTTCAGATTTTCTACATGATACTTGGGTAGTTTGCAAATCTCAGACATCAATATGTATATCAAATTCATTTTCGTCAACATTTCATGGTTGGTTAGGATCAATAATTAATACTTATGGATTTCAATTTCTACAAACAATATTATTTACTTTTCATGGTTCAGGTATTAGTTTACCACATGAAATACCCAAACATCTTTCATCTTATATCAATATTTTAAAAGAATTATGGAAATTTCGTCAGACATTAAATATATCAGAACTAAATTCACTATGGTCTCTACATCGATTTCATGTCGATTGGATTTTATATAGAAATTCGATTGATGGAAGTGAACATTTACAACCTCGATTTATAGCTGTCGTAGATATTCGATCTAGGAATTATTCTTCTGATCATTTTCCTGTTGTTGCTTTGTTCCAATTGAAAAATAATAAAGAAAACTAATTCAAATATAGTAAATCTGGATGATGATGAATTGGTACTGAATCATATGGATCTACATCACCGAAAAAACAACGTACTTAATCTTTTAACATATACACTAGATTTCAAAATTATTCACTTATATAACATAACTTTGTTTAATCTATCAATATAGAATAAGAAAAAAAGTACAGAATTCTGATTAGAGTGTCAGTGTGGTTGTATTCATTCTACGAAAAGAGAAGATCCACATTTACACCCTTTATTATCTTTCTTCGTCCAGGAAAAACAAACCAAGTATCGTGAATTTAAATATATAAACTAACCCTTTCTTTCTCTCCAATAGAAGACTACTAGATGTTCTATTATGTTCAGTTTCCATTTCTCTGTGATTTGAATTTTGAAAAATCCAAACCAAGTCCACTTCTGATATAGAGTGTGAGTATTCATTCATCGACACACATGTATAACCCAGACATAGACTATAATCCACCACCACACATCAACTTTAAAATTGGGTCGGGAAATTGATTTTATTATCAAAAGTATATACCGTATGGATGGGGAGTGAGTGTGAGTCTGGATGAGACGTCTATCTTCACCTACACCTATACGTGCACCCTCAAGTACGTATTCAGTATGTCTCATAGCCTTTTTGATAGCAAAAACAAATGAAATCGTTCCTTTTATACACAAGGATAGTAAAATTGAAAAAGTATTACTTTTTTTCCTTATTTATTTATTCGGATATAATAAAATAATGTATATTAAGAATCGAATTGATTATCATCTAATTTAATTCGTTTATGATTATTCATGTTATGATTTATTTTCTTTCCAATCCATATAATATCACATCTAGCATGTCTTCGAACTATTGAATCAATTGTATTTTGATTAAACCAATCAATGACTTCTTGAGAAAATTTTAAACGTGTTATTTCACATTGTATAACTGAAAGATTTTGACATCGTTCTAAAATGGTTCCAACTTGATCTAATTGATTAATCGGTATTTGTAAACGCTTGATCTGACGTGGAATTATTGAACATATACCATTAAGAAATGGATACAATTCATATGTACTATAACGACTATGTATTATTAAAGATAAAAGTGTATATGCTTGTTCAAGAATAGAAATAATTTCAAATAAAAGATTTTGATTATCTTTATTGAAATAAAAACTTTCTAATTTGACTTCAACTAATTTTGAAATATCAATTATTGAAGTTAAAAATTCTAATGAAGTCAAATGAGTTCGTCTACAAATATCTACATTAAGTTTAGTTACATTAGGAAACATAGTATTAATTCTTGTTGATTCCTATAAATAAATAAATAAATAAATAAATACATTTCAATAAAATTTATCTCATAACAACAAACTTCTTCTTTCATATTTCCATATGTTAATGATTTCCATGGTAAAAAAAGTTCATTAATATTCTTTGTTGTTAATAAATCATAGTTCAATAATATTGTTGAATTAGAAAGATAAATATATTTTGAATCTAATTCATATCGAAGAATAGATTTACAAATTGGTATTGAATAAATTTGAATTCTATATGATTCATTAGAATTAAATTGACAAATTACAAACCATTTTTTATATTCAATCCAAAATGAACTTCGAAATGATTCAATTATTAATTGAAGATCTTCTTGAGTTTGATTAATTGGTTTTGAGATCTCAATAAAAAATTCAAAATTGTTTAAATTAGGAAGATTTACTTGAATAAATTGTTCACATCGTTTACCATCAAATATACATCGTTGACCAATTATTTTTAGATAAATAAGTGATGGCATTAACAATAGAAATGATTCCAATTGATCGATTGTAGTATCTAGATTTTCTATAGTCAATGAAGTTAATTGTGAAAAAGAACATGTTTGCTTCATATTTCCAATTAATATTGGTAAATTTTGTTTTAGAATGAGTGTATGAAGTTGAGGAGAACATGAAAGTATAGTCATTATACTGTGAAAATTAATATTGGAATCTATAATTAAATATTCAATTCTAGAATTGACAGACCATGATATATTAGATATTCGATCATTTCTTATTTTTAATTCAACTTTTCGAAGTTTAGATTGTGCTAAAATTGATGAAAGAAAATTTAATGTTGTTTTTTTTCGTCTATTATCATATTCTTGAATATGTAATGAAAATGAAGTCAAAAGATTTAAATGAATACGTTTTAAAATTATATTCAATTGAAATTCTTCAATACCAAAAAATGTTATTGAATGAAGTCGAGTAAATTGTCGAAGACGAATCAATGAAATAAATAAACCTATTTGATTTGGAGTATATTCATCATTATAAAGTTTTAATGATATAACATTTTGAGGATTAATTAAATGACAACATAGATGAAAATTTGATTTTGATATTGATTTAAAATCAAAAATATATCGATCATAAGTATTGACCATTGCTCGAAATAATCGACATACTGATCGAATTGAAAATAAAATAGTTTGAACATCAAGACTATCAAAAATACGATGAAATATTTCCACGGGTAATGTTTGAATTGATAGATTCATATTATTTGATATGGAAAATAGAAATAATCTTTGTTGGTAGTTTTTGACTTTATTTTTTACTAATGTGAGCAATTGTGAATATTACTCTCAGAATAGTTTCTTTTCACCTATGATAAAATAAAAACAGAACGAAAAAAAAAACAGTATTGTGCTTTTTCTTATTATCACGTGTTACTAATGTTGGAAAGTGAAAAAGGTGTATTGAATGAATCATTAACTTAACATTTAAATGAAGCTCTCGCATTCTTTAAAGAAGTTTTATTATTCAGATGTTTTTTTTCTTTTCGATAATTCTCTGTCAAATATTGACTCTAGAAGAAAGATTTAGTAACTAACAATAAATAACATTTAAAATGAATTTGTTTGATTAGAAAGAAGAAAATTTTCAGTCAATAATTTATTCAATTAATTGTTTTCTTCATCATTTATTTTAGAAAAACCTGTTTGAGACAAATGATGTGTTTTTATATAGTGGAGGGAGAGGTGTGTGTGTGTGTGTGTGTGTGGAAATCATCTTCATTCACATCATAGTCGCTTTTTCAGAATGAAGTCGGGTCGTTATTGCATAGACGACGCGGTGATGAGTAGTATCCTTTCGAAGAGAGAATTAATTCTATAGAAAAAATTATTTTCGATATGGTTTTTCATTGAGGTCAATTTATACACAAATTACCTCTCGTTCTTTTCAAGCAAATTGTAGCCAATGACAAGTGTGAATGTGGGTCTCGATGTAGCTACAATTCCCTCTTTCTTCACATCCACACCTTCAGAATATAAGGACAAATAGATAAAGGGCGAAAAAATGTATCAGTAGGAACAATATCTATATAAGAAAATATGATAAGGGAATAAGAGGATATCTGTCGAGTTCTGTTTCGAAGTCATGACTGTTCAAGATTTTATTCTATCGAAATTTTTATATTTTGATAGGTATTTTTCGAAGTTTTTTCTTTCGAGATTCGAATCTAGAAAACTTGTGCGCTAGAACATATAGTCGTTAAATAGATTCTATCTTAGTTTTTAAACGTATGGTGCACATTGATGTTAATTAAAAAAATAAACTAAATCACTTGAGTATCGTTTGGATTGATCGATTGATATTCCTATGCATGATTTAAGATTGGATGTGAATGAAAAGAAGGTCCATCCATCTGCACTTTCACCCACCTCCCCCCTATGTTCAGATATCATCAACCACCAATACAAAAACCAGTCTTTCAATAAAAAAGCTAAAAAATTGGATTGAAAATTCACATATAGACGCTAACGATCAGTTAAAGTATATCGAGCTTTTTTTTAATGTAATCTTGCGAAACAACTAGATACGTTCTTCTTTCGATCAATGAAATATTCAAAAAAAAAACAATTACAATCCAAACTATCATTATGTATAAGAACTGTATCTTGATACAAAGATAATTTAACTCGATCTGATATTTTTAATGGACAATTACTTCAAAATCAAACTGAACTTGAAGAAAAAACTCATGAACTTAAGTAAAAAAAAAATCTTTTTTTGGTTTTCTTTTTTATTTCATATAATAGATTAGATTCACTTGTACAAAAAGAAAAACAATTACGTTCAACACAAGAAACATGACTTAAAGAAAAGCATACAGTATCAGTACGTTTAACAATATTAGATCAACGATTAATTGAATTAGGACAAAAACCAATAAAATTTCTTATTTGAATTATCACTCTTGGTCACAATTATGAATTGGTTGTTGTCTTTTCTTTTCTTCCCTTTTATTTCATGTTAGCTTTCTGCATCAAGTTCAATTGGAATTGATGATTTATTTCAAACCCGTCAAATAGGTTAGACATTTCTAATTGAAGGAACTAAATATAATCAATGGTTTGTTATTTAGTTAATGAACAAGAGTTTCATTGTGAACCATTAAGGACTTCAGGTGATATTGAATTTTTGTACACAAGCGTTCCCTGCATCAACAACATAGAGATTACCTTGACTATCAAATACTAAACCATTGACTAATGATAATTTATTAGCTTCTTCTCCGTCACCGATTCCACCTGCAATTATATCACCTTGTGTAGCGTCTTTGCACCAACGCATTACTCGTCCGTTTAAGCAATCAGTCACATAGAGAGTACCTAGTTGTTCTACAATAATTTCTTGAAGATAATGTAACTGCGAAAGACCATAGCAGCTTTCTGGACCACCAGCAATGACTATGCCTTCGGTTGCATCATCTGTTCATTTCATTACACAATAATTTTTTTCATCCGATACATGTACCGAATAGTCTTGATCAACAAAAACACTATACGGACAATTCAATTGATTGAGATCATCACTTTTTCCATTTCCACCAGCGACTATTGTTTCTTCATTGTCTCCAATATCATATTGCACAACTTCGTCGTTTTCATTGTCAGCAACATAGATAGATCCATTTTCATCCATTATCAAACCCTTGCAATAGATGTCTGAGATGATTGTTTCACCTTCTGTATCCGCTCCGCAACACTACCGAATTATTCGTCTTTTATTGTCATCGCAGATAATTAAATTATTCACCTTTTTGTCGATGATCATATCTGTTGAACCATTCAATTTGTCGTTCCTAAGCATGAAGTCGTCTTAGGCAGTTTGATTATCATCAACCAATAGACCGCAAGGGCCCAATAATTGATTTACATCATCACCATTACCATGTCCTCCCGCATCAGTCACAGCGTCCTTTATTCATTTGGCATCATAACCAAGAACAGTAGAATGTGGTGGTACTAAAGAAAAAAGATTTGACTAGCAATTCAATTGGTTTAAATGAATATTCATGAAACTAAAACGAGCCTTTCACTAATATTGAGTAGAACTCAATAGAACAAGCAAAGATCGTCAGTTTTCATTAGAAAGAAAACTAATCAAGTCTCACTCAATAATTTGTAAAATATCTCAAAAATACAGAAGCAAATATTTGTAGAATACGATGTTAAATGAGTGTTGAAGTATACAGTGAGAAAGTTAGATCTACTACTTTTTCCCTGTCATCCTTACACACCGTGAGGATGATCAGAAATTAAAATCTCCTGGACGCCACAATTCATGACAGATAGTCAGAATGACTACTGCTCTCAAGGATCATCATGACTGATGTGGCTGGCATTCTTCTTAATGAGTGGAACAGATTCGTCATGTTCCACATTTTAATCTCGGAAGGATGCGTGTAGATGACGACTAGATGAACCCTTCCTACTCACACCTGCACCCCCATCCCATACCCACACCCTCTGCACTTCTGAAGTATTGAAGTACGCTTTTCCACCCACCTTGGCATGTGTGGATGTGCTGTTAGAGTGGGCAGAGAGAAGACTCACATCAGAATTTTAGTCAGTGTCGGAAGGGCTTTTATATCCGATTAATATGGCTCCATCGTGTTTCGTATTTTAATACTGTACCGATTATACTAAAACCTTGTTTTCACTAATGTCTTTCGGTTAAATAGCCGATCAAATCATTTGGGTATGATTGACTCCTACTTTTCTGACATCCTTAGGATGACATTCATCAAACTCAGGTCGAAATTTGTCAACATCTAAACGAAGTAGAATTCATGAGAAAACTTGACGTTTGTGTCGCTCAACAGATAAATACTTTTTAAAAATGTGGGCACTGCGTTGTAAGCTAACAATAATATTCTTTCAGCTAGTAAACTTCATTTTCTTTAGTTTCGTATTCGACCCTTCTTATGTTTCGATTGTTTCATTGTTGACTATGCTTTTGAGTGATTGAAGCATCTGTACATTATTTTAGTAGATAATGCTCTGTTTTTAGTGAGAAAATGTGTTTCTTGCTTATTTGAAGACGACGACAGTTTCATGCTAGTACGCAAGTCTTGTGTTTAATATAAAGAGCAAATGTCATATTTATGTCTATCTTCAGCAAAGAACGAAAAAAAAGTGAAATATTCGTCGACTCATAAGTTTTCGCGGATTCAACTTGCAAGATAATGATAACAATACTTTTATCGCGTCACAAGAAAAGTATATAGGTGGACAAACTAACACCAAAATGAAGAACTACAGCGAGAAAGAGAGGGTCTTTTAATTTTCGTTTTATAGGGCTCAAAAGAAACGTCTGCTCGAATTATGGTCCAATACAGCATAGTAGACGACCCAATATCACTTAAAGTTACAGCATTGCAAGAAAATATGAGCTGAATGTATTCGACAATCCCAAAGAGTATTATCAGGCGGAAACCTCCAGAGAAGCCAATTTCTTTTCTTAAGCAAAACTAAATTTATTCGATGAGTTCTGATGCGTTACAATGAATTCTTCTGTTCGATCTTCGCTGCTGAGACACTTAAGCTTTATGGCAGTTTCAAGCTGTGTGTGAGATTGGCCTGGATGTTTGATAGAAAACTACTGTGAACTAGTAATGTCTCAAAACAGAGGACCTTGAAAAATACAGCATTCTGCGGCTCATATTGCTTACTGAAACTCTTAAATTAGTACAGTCTCCGTACTCTTAAAAAATCGTTTTAATAGCAAACTTTTTTAAGTTCGACAAGGACTGTAATACCTAAAGTGGTTCTTCGCGTGGATACTCTCTCGGCACCTTTGCTACGAAACCTTACTGAAATTCTTAGGACGAAAAAAGATTCAGTATTAAAAATACAAAACCAATGAAGTACGATACAAAACCTATCATGTTTTGTTTTAAACATGAATGATTGTGTATCGAACCTGAATGGTTTGATATTTTCCACATCAGACACTTTTTAGTTCTATGAATCTCAAATGTTCTGTAGTAAAAGTTTCGAGAGTGCATCCGCGCCAAGATTCATTATAGGTTTCTCAGTTTCTGCCGAAGTTAAGAAAGGTTCCGTATAAAAGCTATGTTTGTTTAGAGTATACTCAGAAATGATTCCACACTTCGGCAGGTTCCATTTTCAACCCTTGTGACGCAATGATTTCTAGCAGTTGTGATCGAATACAGTGCTGCGTCCGTGGAGTACGTGTCAGGATATGGTGTTGGAGTAAGTGAAGCGAAGACCGAAAACCAGACTCACATACTCATCCACGTCCACAACAACACCCACGCCCACATCCTCGAAAATTTTGTTGTATAAAACCGACATTGAAAAAGAATTCTGAATCCTGCCTATTTTCCAATCGTTACAAATTGTTTTTATTCTAGATCGACTTCAGACACTTGATTCATGAATACTGAAGATATTGTTACTCATGTTCCATTTGAAACGCGTGTTCATCAACAATGCCTTCGTCTTTCCGATCTTCCACTATTGTCATCGATAGTCAAAACAGTGCAAAACGAGAAACCACTGGAAAACTATACAATTTGGAATATTCAACATGAATTAGGTAACGTAACTGCCCAAATCGAAGCGCTTCTGCTTCTGGGCGCATCGCCTTCGAATCTATATTTTCTTCCACCGCCATACACGCATCAAAAAGGCTTTGAACAATTCGTTATAGAACATTTTCGAGTCCCAAAGGAAAACTTCTTTCATGCAGCACCATACTGTTTAATGTACAACTACGAAAAGTATCGTTTGGTACAAGTTTTATTTGAATTGAATCGATTGATAACGATAGAACTTACGAAACAAAAAGTAGCATCCATGAAATTACTCGTATTAGATAGTGGAGCTTGTTTTTCTGAAGCATTGGCCAATCTCTATGAGATTGATGACGGCAAATTAGATCCAAATCAGCTCGTTGAAAATCTTCCAGCAACATTGAAAATTGAAAGATCTGATGCATCATTGCTTCTATCACATTTGGAATCGATCGAAATTCATCTTGTCGAACAAACTTCACGTGGTCTCTTCAAGTATGTCGATCAGCCGAACATTGAACAAGCACTGAATCGAATCGGAACATCGATCATTGACGTGGCTTCCAGTGAGCCCAAACGACGACTAGAACCATTGTTGATTGCTGAAGCTTGTCTAAACATGTTATCTTATTTATTTTACGATGCTCCAAAGTCACTGCGAATTCCAAAACCATCACAATCACAAAAATGTCTATTGCTTGGCTATGGTGCTATTGGACAAGCAATCGGTCATGCTTTAATCCGTCCTGGTGACTTGGACATCTTTTCCAAAGGTTCAGTTAAAGTCTGGGATCGAGATGCTTCTAGACGTCAATTAGCACAAGACGAAGGTTTGGAAATATTCGATAATTGGGGTAGCAAAGAAGAATTCGATTATGTGATTGGTTGCACGGGTCGTTGCTCATTACCAATGTCGTCTTTCTCATTACTACGTGATAATGCCTACTTGATAAGCGTATCATCTGGAGCCATCGAATTTCCATTTCACGAAATGGTTCAACGTGCATTGTCCGACACTGAAATCGACCTATCCAGTGCTCAAATCAATGAGTTTACAAGTGAAGATATTCATCGTAATATTGAATTTCGTATTGACAATCGACGAAAGCTGACTGTTGTCAACGGTGGAATGCCTATTACATTTGTAGGAATTCTAAATGCTGCATTACCAGAAAAATTCGATGTCACTGTAAGCTGTATGATAGCAGCAAGTATTCAAGCTGTGCATACAAATCAGCAAACAAGCGATCAAAATCGAATTATACCGCTTGATTCAACATATTCAGCCTTGATTTGTGATTGGTATAAGCCTTGAATCGAAAAACATTCCGATACTAGCAAGTGAATCAGAATGATTATCACACTTATTTTGCATGTAACTTAATTCACAGAGGGATATAATATTGAATTCTTTGTAAACTTTCAAAGAAAGAAATTTTTGTGATTTTGTTATGATGAATTTTTTGATGACTGAAAGTGATGATTTGCATGATTAAAAACATAAGAAAAAAGTTTCAGAAATCGTGAGGTTTTTAGTGGACATGCAGAGATGGGCAAGTCAAATATCTTGAATTCCATGTTTTGATTCTTTACAAAAGACAAATATGGATCTAACTACTAGATTGCATCATTACGAGGGTGTGGATGTGGATGTTGTTAAAGTGATGATTGACACCGACACCATCATTCACACGCATACCCTGTATACAGTTGTCTCATTTCACAATATCCAATAGCTACCAAGAAGTCTATAATCGACGAACGATGCAACAGTCATAATCAATGGTGAATCATATACAAAAATTGTTGAAGATCAAGCATTCACTTCTGAGAATAGAAAATGAAACCGAAGATTACATCGTCTTTAACTTGGTCTTCAAATCGGTGCTATTCATTTCATCCTGTCTCTTTACATACATTATCTTATCAGCATGATAATATCTACCATCAATTCGTTCCGTCAAAAAGTATTTATATGTACTCATAGTACTTGACTTCGAGCATTAATTAAATATCTTGATAAAGTACCATGAAGAATATATATTTTTCCGAATTGAAGAAAAAAAAAGTAAAACTATAATTTTATCTAGAGAAATAAAAGAGCTGTTGTATATATGCCTCCCTCTATTATTAAACCATTCATTTTTTGTTACATATATTAATTCTATAAACGTTGCACTAACAGCTTTTTCTCTCCAACTTGTCAATTTTCTTATTATTTTTCAATCTCAAAAACATGTTTCGTGTTATATCATACTAAGACAGTTGAGTTAGAGATATTATTCAAAATAAAATTTATTACTTCTTACAATAGAACTTTTGTGTTTAGAATTTTTCCATAAATCCCATGTCATTACGTGTGATCGTTCTCATATGTAGATAGATTTTGATTTTTTTCAAACAAATACAAAAGAATATTTATTCTCTATTCTAATAGATTCATTCTATAGAAATAAATTTTATTCAAATAAATCCATAATAATTATTAGATATTTTTGCATGAGAAAAATAATGTTTCAAACGTTCAGTTATGTTGAATTCACCAGAAATATATAAACGATTGACTTTATTAGAATTAATTCGTATTGCATTTCTTTTAAAATTGCGTGTAACTTTTTTTAAAGATTTATAATTAAGAGAGAGAAAAACACCATTTTCCAAACATGTTTTGGTATCAAGTAGAAATTCTTCAATATAATCATAATGAGTATCATATAAAATAAGGTTGGTAAGATAAGAATATTCAACGATTGATAGATGTTCGATGTTCTCTTTTGATTTTCTATATTGTTTATTATTTTGTCGTTTCTTATTATATAAAGATAATTTTTCCATCAATGGAAATGATTTTTGAATTCGAAGAAAAAATTCATGTTCAAAAGGATACTCATCATATAATGATACTTGACGAACACATTTAAATAATCCACCTGGAAAATTATTTCTTATACAAGATAAATTTCAAGTGCCCATTGTTATTGTGTTAAATATTCTTAAAAGAAAAAAAAAATCAATCGATTACTGATTATGAAACTAATTGAAACAAAGAAATGAAATGCAAGATGAATGGTATTTTTATTTATATTTACTTGATTCTCCATCCTTTATATACATCTGCTATACTGAACGATTTTCGTCTTTCTCAGCGATGTTCACAATATAGAGATTTTACTTGAATTCACAAATACACTAGATTTTAAATTAAATTTTTATATCTTTAATACAAAAAAAAATTATTAAAAGATTCTTTTCTATTGAATTATATTTATCAACGAAAATTGTTTATTAAAATATTATATACTGAATAAAAATTTAAGGAATAGGTGCAATTTTTCCAAGTCCAGTTGAAATAGCTGTACTTGGTTTTTTTCCAAAAGGTAATCGATAATAAACACTTGAAACACCAGTTACTTCAATTTCAACATCATCTGTAGCTGCCACTCGTATTATACTTATTCCCATTGCTCGTACTTTAACTTGTTTAGTTATTAAATCTAATGCAGTAATATCACCGATTCCTGTAGCATCGAATATTGCTTGTTGTCGAACTTGTCCTGAGAAACGACTATTGCCAGTTCCAGTAAAATAAACTTCAAGTTTATTAACATTTAATTGAATAGCAACATTAGCTGTACCTCGATTATCCAATACAAATGTATCATTGCCATCATTTGATATTCCATTATCATCTGTTATTGTATTACCAGAACCTCTAATGGTATAACGACGTAATGGAGAATTAAATCGAATATAAGCATAGATATTATTATCAACCTTTAATGGACCTTTAATATGAATTGACAGAATATGATTATCAACAATTTCAACAATAACATGATTTTGAGCATCAACAGTTGTTTCAATTTCAACAGTTGGAGTAGAAATTCCATTTGATGTTTGACTTAAGAAAATATCAAAAGCGCCATCGACCATAATTTCATCAAATGATGATGATAGAGAACGAGTTTGACGAATGATGGTGTTATTTATTTGTCCTTGAACCAAAGAAAAATAAACAACAATAATAAAAATGCAAGGTAGCATCGAAATCGACGCACAATTCTTGAAAAATCTATAGAATGATAAAATAAATTACTGAAGTTTCATTTATCGGCATTTTTATTATTTAGTTTTTCTGTCGAATAAACTAATGTAACATACCTTTTGACGAAGAAAAGAGACAACAGTAGACTTATGAAATTTTTCTCAATCTATCATAGACTAGTCGTAACAGCTAGCGTATTCAGAATTAAACTAGTAGTTTATTTATTATGATAAAATTCTCATTTATATACTCAATTGTTATGTATTCATCACTCGTCTCAACTACAATGTAGTTCTTATTTTGTATATGTCGTATGTGCTTAAGTGAAATATAAAAGAGGGATTGTATAATGTTCTTTTGTATATATGTATGTATGTATGTGTAGGTGTATGTTGAAACAAAAAGGAATAGTTTTATCTTTAGTTTGAGTCATAGATAAGACCTTAATCCTCTTTTACCACAGTACCTTGCTTTAATTTTTACAAAAAAAATCAATGATAGAAGCAATGGTTGACAAAATAAACTTTTTTTAAATGTTCGATTCAAACATTACAAGAAAAAGGAAGAAAATTATTCAATTTCCTTTTGTTTAAGAATGTATATCACATTGTTCTTTATATACATTATATGATTGATTGATCAATCACATAAAATATTTTGTAGTTCTTCGTTAATCGATCATGGAAGAGTCATATATCCTATACTTTTTAAAAATTTATTTATGTGAATATCCGTCCAATTCTGACCTTTTTCTTCCTATTTGCCTGTACATATCAGTGCGCACTATTATTTATTATGAACTAAAATAAAATCAATGACGTCAATAATCCAAAATCTTCAGCTTGTCGTCTTTTGTCGTGAAAATGTTCTATCGATGATTAATACTTAGCTTATCTGAAATGATTTTGATCAACTTGAATTAATGTAGGATGATCAAAATGGGTGCTATTTACAATTATAGATTATTTTATCTTTTTTAATTATAGTATATTATGTCTATGTGGCTTATATTTCAGGCTATTTTGCATTTCTTTGATCTTCTTTTCGTATTTAATTGAATTCACTAGAGAAAAAAATAATAATGTACTCAGGTCAAACAAGCACGGTCGTAAATGACTGTATATGGAGAAATACCACGATTTACATGGTCCAGTATTATGATCGTTTACGATCCTCGTATACGAACCCGTATTCATCGACCTGAGTACACAAAACATTGTTTCAATTGACGCAATGTGTTTTCACACGGGTAAGAATTATTTGAAAAAAGTTCTTATTTCAATAATAATCTCTCATTGTAACAGAGCTTGATGTTAAATTATAGATAAAGAATAAAGCAGTGTATCATCAATGATGAATTGAAAATAAAATGTGCAACATTAATTCAATTTATTACAATTGTATTGATCAACTTAACTTCTTTCACCTAATCATATAATTTACCACTATATGTGATCAATTGTAAAGTTGTTGCAAATAGAAAAAACAACATCGTAATAATAAGCGATCGAACTATCATGATGCAGTGTGTCGAGATCATTGAGACTTAGCAAAGCCAATAATACTTTTTTTCTCCGAAAAAAAAATCGAAATCATATTTATAATAAACCATGAGTTTAGATATAACGATGCATAGTACATATGTAAACGAAGTTCAAAACTTTTGTGATGTTGTACGAGAGTGATTCCATGATATATGTGACACGTTGTACATGACTTCGTTCAAATCGATTTTCATGTTTCAAACCGTGTAGAGCATAGTCAATTTACTTACTATGATTACAACAATTCACAGAAATATAGCGAAATATGTCTAACACTACGTAAAAATACTGTAAAAGAGGTTAAAATGTCCATCATCATACGTTTCTAACGTAGAATTTGGGCACATAGCTACGTAGCAGATTTTGTAAAACAAAATTCGCTTTACATGTCTATATATGGTACTTATCGCGGGCGTATCAAATAGATAGTCATTTTAGCACGGAAAGATTATCATAAATAATCAGATTATAAGTATATATGGTATTGACTATACTTTGCTTTAATTTTGTGAATCGTCGATCCCTTCAACATAAGAATTTATAGTCGATCGTTTGTTATCATAGTAAGTAAAACAACAATGTTCTACATGATTTGAAACGTAAAAATCGATTTGGAGGAACTCAATGTAAACATGTCACATCTACCATGAAATCACCCACAATATAGTATACCATAAATGAATAGCACACATGTGAAATAGGGAAATTATTCAGTTGTAACTTTCGTCTTCTTCGCAAGAAAATGAAATAATGGCATAAATAATTTTATTGAGAATCATGGACTATTTGTTAATCTTTCATACTAGATTAAGCAAAAATTTTTGATAACATTATCATTTACTCTTATATATTGACTATAAACCTGTGACTTATCTTAACTATAAGAATGAGGATGACAACGGTGTTGAATAACAGTGATATGGAAAAACGATATTTATAAACAAAGATGTGCACTGCCAAGTCAGCGATGTTAAGACTTTTTTTAGGATCAGGAGGATCAGCTAAAACCTATCCGACAAAAACCTTTTTTTCACCCAAAAACAAGTGTTAAATCCAATATTCAGCAAAATTTTAATACAATAATAAAGAAACATTTGACATAAGACTTACAACAACCAGAATCAGTAGTATAAGATTCAATATATATTACCTCTTCTTTTTACTATGTAATATCATACATCTATTTGTCAATAAAATATCTATTATATTTTTAAACGGATCTATATGTATGTGAGACTTTCGTTTGAGGACGTATAGTAGAACTAGTGAATTTAGTCTGCTAAAGAATTAAAGAGCTCATATAAACTGCCTACCTTCCTTTTCCGTCTTAATATTTACTGCCATTGCGAAATTACTGTGTATGAAATGTTTTATTTTGAAAAGAATAAAACACAAGAATAGCCAATAACCAAAAATATAATAATAAAGAAGATGAATGAAGAGGGAAAAGATGGGCGAAATACGAAAGACAAAAACAACAAAATAAGATCAAAACAAGATACATTAAAGAGGGGAGAAGAAAACCAATAACAACCGGTGAGCAGAGTTAGCGTCATAGAGTGACATCTGTCGACGCTAACACCGCCCCCTTTCGGCTAGAAAGAACTGACCAAGGCTACTGCTCACCCTATTGGTTAAGTTGCAATAACAATCATCTAGACCTTTCGGATGAACAGATATAAGGTATAACATACATACAAACAACAATAACAAAAAACATGATGAATATAAGAAAAGAAAAAATAAACAAACAAACAAATGATGAACGTTTAAAAAACGGATGCTTATTATCAATGAATACCGAGCCATTCTGTATAGCTGTTTTTTCCACAGACATTTGTGGATAAGCGTTTAGTTTTTTTCCTCTTTTTATATACGAAAACGTCCCATAAAGTAGATTTAACTTTATTATTTTTATACCATTGAGGAATGTCAAATCGTAATAAATAAGAGATAAAATCTAATAGATGACCATCAGGAATATAGATCATACCGGAACGATGTCCAATTCCTCGAGCCCATTTTTTGATATCACCTATGCTATCCTTTAGTGTCTTAGGATTTTTTATTAAATGTTCTACGATCGCATTACGAAGATCATTGATTGCTTGATCAAATACAACCGTAGAATAAGCAGTAATGACAACCATTGATTTCTCGTCTGATATCTCACCAACCGTATTGTTGACACCAAAATCAATAATAGAGTTTGATTGGGATACTAATATTTAACGTTCAAAACATATCGTATCTGGATTATCGGTACATTTTTCTTTTAGATTATTAGCTGATGCATTTTGATATAGAAGTTCTCCGTTAGACAAATTATTCATAATCTTTTGATGAGATTTCGATTCAGATGAAAAAGAATCATTTATATCAAATTCTGATAATAAAAATTCATAAAAATCATCAAAAGATTGAATTTCTTTTCGACTTGCGTTGTATTTACATTTAGTATCACCCTCGACTAAATGCGAGATAACTTCAAGGCGCAATTTTCGTGACATTGCTAACTGATTAAATTTACGCTCGGTTTTGTCTAGCCATTCAATAACATTTTGTTCTGCCGAAAATGGAACGAAGTGATGTAAAATGAATGCGACGGCACAAAAAAACAAGTACGGCGAAAAGATAAGGTAAAAGATCAGGCAAATAAAAGAGGACAAAAAAAATTGAGAGGAAGAGAGAAAACAGGAAAAAAAAGAGGCAGATAAAAACCTACCCGACTTCTCCACCAATTGTAAGATTCTCGTTTGAGGATGTATAGTAGAACTAATGATTTTAGTTTGTTAAAGGATTAAAGAGCTCACATAAACTATCTACTTCCCTGTGTCGTCGTAACATATATTGCCATTGAGAAGTTATTGCGTTTGGAATGTTTTATTTTGAAAAGAAAAAAACATAAGATAACTAATAACCAAGAATATGATAATAAAGAAGATGAATGAAGAGGGGAAAGATAGTTAAAATACAAAAAAAACAGTAAAAGAACATCAAAACAAGATATATTAAAGAAGGAAAAAGAAAATCAATAACAAACAGCGAGCAGAGTTAGCGTCATAGAGTGACATCTGTTGATGCTAACAACATAAATACATATCCATCTATCCTGTATCGTTACTCATCTTTTTTTCACTTATTCAGTGTTCATGATTCATTTCGTTGTTTTTCTCTCAGAAAACCAAAAAAAAATCTGTTTTATGTAACATTTTATAGTATAAGTTCTCTAACAAGAACGTACTTTTAGACAGTGTTATATATATTTATATAATTAGTCGAAATTAAAAATTTTAAAATGTAATCTTTTATCTTATCAACAGATATGTAACTAGTTCTACATAGAAATAAAACCAAATCAAAGAATCATTTACTGGAAACTTGCTAAAATTTGTTTTTCACAATCATAATTAATAGTAAGAATTCGAATTTAAATAACACTCTGTCACTGACTGTAGCAATCTGACTATCGAGTGAACTCTGTGACTTTAGAATGCCTTGAAATTTGAAGAAAAGCACTAACCACACACATAGCGTACGACCCATGAAATTGTTACAAACTCTATATATGTTAAAAGAGCTGTATAAAGGACTCAAATTACATTAATGTAACACTAAGGGAGAGTGTTACAAAAGATATTCAATGAATGATTTTTAGAAAACTAACATTTAAGTGCTAATTTCAAGGGCTAAATCTCATTTATATTCAAATTTGAATTTGGCATGAATTGAGATAAGAACGAACATTTCTATATTATAGTTTCAGAATGTATTACCGAAAATATATAAAAAAGAAAGATTTTCTATCGAATAGATCAAGATTTAATTGATTGCATTTAGTACACGTCTACTTCGTACTCATATCTTTTCTAATTATGGATTATAACTTAAAAGTAGGTCTTTGAGAATATGTGGTAGTGGAAAAGTATTCAAGACATGTCTCGTATCGGTAGATGCTTAACACTCCTGTATTAGAAGTCATTCGTATGTCATGCAATCTTTGTCATTTATTTTATTACATAGGAAGTGTTAACATGATTTTCGTCAAAACTGAAATCAAACGAATGTTGCGATAATAGCATTGTTTATTTTTGGATGCTTATTCTACATGTTGCATAATTATATGTGTCGTCCGTATTTTTTAATTTATTCTTTTGTTTTTTTAAATATTTAGTTGAAATGTGCTGTCATTATGTAGACTTTTTTCACTGATGATATGTTTCCTTGACTATCTAGTCGAGGTTGAATTTTCAATTGAACCAGAGCTGCTCAATATTATATGTTGATTGCAGGTGTCGCGTGAATCGAAAGTTAAGAGTGTTAAATTAGAAAGTGTACAGAATAGTGTCGTTTTAGCTTTCCCTAGTCGAACATCTTGTAAGCAAGATCTTGGTCAGGATACAAGCTACAGAGATATGAACAGATCTTGAAAGTTTAAGTGTAAGATAATCATATTATCTTGTACTAAGATTTATAATTAGATCTTTGGTACAAATCTAAAAGATCTTGGATGCAGGTATTCAATGTCTTTAATTTGATATCTGGTCTGTTGTGATCGTTTTTATTGATCTTTGTTCCCAGCAATTATATCTTTCAACTAATAACCAAGATCGACAAGATCTTTATTTAAAGTTCGCCTGTTCAATTTATATCTAACATGAGCAATATCTTTCTGAACATTTAGTGCAAGTTAATTTTCCATTAAAAATAGTACAAAAAACAAGAACTAAAAACATGCAGAAAATTCTTTAGTTGATAGGAGCAATTATTATGAATTCAAAAACATGCCTATTTATGCAAACTCAAATAGAGTAAAACTATAGCGTAAAGAAACAAAGAATTCAAAGGATTTATCTAAATTAAAGATTTGATTAATACTAAAATCTAAAACGTCTTTTATTTTATCGAATTTCAAAAAAAGTTTGACTTTAAAAAATTCGAATTCTAAACCGTCTTATATCGTAACCAGACATCAACCATCCTCTTATAAAATACAAATTTTTCATAAATGCTCGCTAGATTAGCCTAAAAAACTTTGTTGATACTTTATGAATTTTCTGTTAAATTATTTTTTCTTTCCTCTTTGTTCTTCATAACTTTAAGTTTATTGGTTTGCAAATGCCTTCACTGTTTCCAAATTTTTTACGTCTATGAGATTTACAAGTTTATATGATTGAGTTTTGGAACGTGTAGTTCCAAACGATTAAAGAATTTTTAAAAGTGTGAATAAATTAATGATGCCGCTTTTTGTTTTACTCGAGATCCTGGGAAAAGATAATAATAACTGATATCTTTTTTATAATCTTGACATGTGAGAATCTTTGAACAGATCTAACAAAGATCTTAGGTACAGATATATCTGATACGTTCAAGATATACACAAATGAATTATCTTTTAAAGAGCTTGATAAGATATTGTTTACAAGATGTATCGACTAGGGTGTACATTGTCAGGCTTAAGGTACTCTTTCTATTATAATTATTGATAGTTATAAATTAAAACTTATGGACTTCAATGATTACACTACAATTTATCAATGGTTCAATGACAATAACCAACCAACACCAATGGATTTTTATTCATTTATTTTATTTTATTTTAATAAAAAGAAAATTATTTTTTTTAAGCTTTTATCATTCATATTTGTACCACTATCTTACTATATGAAGACATATCACAATTTATTTTTAGCACAATAATAAATACTAAATGATTTATAAGTATATATCTCATTGATGTGGAATAGTAACACTCTTGACATTGGTTATATTGTTTTTATTAGACATTTCTGAAGTAGTCTTATTGCATTTTTGGCTATTGAAATTATCGTAGTCGCCTCACAAGATGTTGTTCTAAAAGGATCAAATCACAATATAGTACTCGAATGTGATTTATTTCGTATAGAGTGCTACTTTTCTAAAGGAATTGATAATAACACGGAAAGAGTTTTTATATAGATCCAATAATTTTTGTCACATAATATTGACGTCAATCGCTTTCAATATTTTCGTATTCGGTCATTAAGTTTTTTATTGAACAAACAAATGGAATGTGACATGACAAGAAAAGAATAATCGATGATTAAATTATCATAAATTTTCATGAATTCGATTCATTTCGAGATATTTGTCTAATTCATTCTTTAACTTATTACATACTTCATACGATACAATCCGATAAAATAATATCAAGATTTATTATCGATAATAATGATTCGACAATGGAGATAGAATCTGAATATCTCTGTGTGTCAAGTGACACGTTTTTATTTTGCCCATATTCATTCTATTTTCATATGGAACCTTTATTAATTTAGATTCAACATGGGACATAAATTTCATTA